TATATAAACTTGGTTGCATTCATTATTTGCTACTGTAAAGACTTTGATTATCAGAAATAAACTACTCATCTGTAACAATTGCAAATTTTGAGACACAATGAAGTGGATCTCCAATTCTCCACCAATACTTTGTGCTCTGGAAACCAATTGGTTTTTTTAATACCAATTTTTCTACAGCTGTCTTCTGATATTGTCAATGTTACACTTTGCCTGCGTGATGAAAATGTTAAAAAAAATCAGAGGAAATTGTAAACAATATCAAAGAAAAGGGACTGGTTGTAAATCTTATAAAGCAAACACAAAATTGTCTGTATGTCGTTAATGTTGATGTTTTCACTGATAAGTGACACATCATGTGTTTTTCAAAGTATAGTAATGTAGACAGGACCTCAATCAGCACTCAAGAAAACCTCTTGTTTGTTTAATTATATGGTTTATCACCTGAGCTCCTAAAAACATTTAAAAAGTTCATTTTCATAACACATTAAGTTTTCTGTTCTCTTTATTTAGTGGGTTATGTTGGGAATTTTCAGATTATTTGATGACACACTTATGTAAATACATACAACTTATTTCTCATTTTTATGGAAATAATCTCACCACCTACACTCACGTATATAAAAAATTGGCCCTTAAGATAAATTCTTACAAGTAATAATAAAGCTTGTGCATAAGCAGCCCTCAATAAACTTGCCAAAATGTCACATTTCACCTAACTTTCAAAACAGAAATGACACAAGTAATTAAAATATTGGTGCATTAACTTTTAAATATACATATATAAAAAGTATGTGTAAATAAATAAATAAATAAATAAATAAATTTATCTCTGAGAGTAGCAGGATTTTACCAGAACTTTTTAAAATCTCTGAATTCATTCTAAACTAAATATTTTTCTAATTAATAATAAAAACAGCTTGAAGTCAAAATAAAGAAATTAACATTTATAATCTGCTATATTTCAGATTAGACTCTGTTTAATAAATGACTTCAGACACTGATAAATTAAAAGCATTTTCTTTTTTCAGCTGCATTTCTTTTATTCCTAACAGGTGCTATGGTTCAAGAAAATCATCATCATAAAAGCATATCTCTCCCAAAAAACATGTTAGACATTTGGGTGTCAAAGGTTTAGAGGGCACAACCTTGTCAGCTAAGACAGGCACACCTCACATCTATCAGTTTAAAGCCTTGGGGGAAAGAAAGGCCTGACATGTCTGATCTCTTCAGACAGGTTTTAGCAGAAATCTGCCCTTTAATACTGTTTTATTCTCACTAGACAGATTAACCCTGCTAATGCCCCATGGTGTCCACAGAATGAATGTGCACTGATCAGTGTGCTCTGCCTGTGGGCTGTACAGCACAAGTATGTGTGTGTGTTATGCTTTTATTTTTTTTAACAGAGCTGCAGTGACACCGATGCGATGTATGGGACCTTTTTTTTGGTGGAAAATGTTACAGAAACACCACTGGCTACAGGCAGAATAAATAGACCTGAAAAGTGTCACTGTGGCTCAGAAAAACAATGAGGTTTTTAGATGGGTACAAACAAACCAAATATAATGTGGAGAATATATACAGTATTTATAAATTATTACTGTTTTATGGATCTTCTGTGAAGGCAGCTACTGGGACATTGAAGTACTGTATACTGTATTGAAGTGTTTGCAGTACATGTACATCATTAATGGATTGTATCTATGGATTGTAGTATATTGCACAGTGTCCTATTGTATTGTACAGAGATGGGCATTTTAAGCAAAAACTCTTCAATGGTTTTTAAACTTTTCTTCAAATTTGCAATACCCTTTCGTCACCGGCCACCAGAACATAACTTGCAGCAACACATCTTACAATGCATGCTTATTTTGTCCTTTTCATATGCAGGGCTAACTGAAGTATTAGCACAGCAAGAAACTCAAAGTGAAAGAAAGAAATAAGTTTAAATGAGCACTAATCTTAGCCACTGCTTAATGTTTCAACTTTAGAATCCTTTCAAAATAAAATAAGATGCAGATAGACACTGGGGTTGCTCCAAGTTGTGACTTTTTTTCTCAGGTGGGGTGAGGAGTCGGTGTTGTGTCGAAAAAAAAAACACTTTGGGGGAAAAACATTAGGAAACAACTTGGCAGGTCACTACCAGGTCCTAATGTAAAAACAAAAAAGAGATGGTAGTGAGTAACATTAATTCTTTGAAATTGTCAACGTTAAGTAGGTTTTAAAAAGTTGAAAATTACTACCATCCCTAGTATTGTAATGAATCATATTGAATTGTACTCTGTCATATTAAATTTGAATCTGCTGTACCATATTGTACTGTCTTGTATTGCACTGTACTGCATTTTATTGCGTTGTAGTGTATTGTATCAAGTTGTATTGTGCTGAATTGTACGGTCTCACATAGTGACGTCCTCTCTATCTCTCTCTGTTTCTTAATCTTTTAGAAAGCTAAAGGGTTAAAGACATCTTAAGTTACATTCATTATATTCAGCTAAATAATGGCTAACAGTAAGTCATCAAGACCATTAAAAGTTAATAGAGGACTATCTCTTAGCAGAAGAAATTTCCTCATTGTAACAATGGTAATGAGATAACTAGATTAATGACACCTCGGTGCTACACCAGGTCCAGGTTAAGTTTTTTTTTGTCTTGTCTTGGATTTTTGCAAAGCTACAATAACAGTCAAGTCTACCATGAATAAATATTTTACCAAAAATAAGCAGAGATCTTACTTGTCCTACTGCAGTCTGAGAGATTGGAGGTGTGTCTTTCCTTCTGAGCACTGACTTGTACGTGACATACGCTAATAAAATGAGCTTGGCACACACGAGGAAAGTCACAGCGTTGTTCATTTTATGAGAGTCACCTGGAACATGCCTTTGAGTTGCCCCTGCTTATTAAAGACTGAAGAGACTGTCAGAATCATGGGCTGTAGATACATCATCCATGGGTCTGTGTGAGTGAATCACTCCTTTAAGGTGAGATGTGCAGGGATCTGGCTGGATCTCTGCTTCTTGGAAATATGTCCCAATAGACAGACAAAGCGGTTCAAATTATTAGCAGAGTATAACAGGGAGCATCATGGCTGAACCGTAATGCTTCACCAAGGTCAGTGTGTTGTTTGTTGGTTTATATGACTCAAACAGTGGCTTATAATCACTGGAAAATGTGGTAATACTCTATCATCTGTCATCCACAGCAAATGTCTTTTTGCATGATGGAAACAATCGTATTTATTTGATGCTGCTGGCTGCTTTATGGATACTGTTGTCAAACACAGGAGGCTTTGTTATTTTCTGCCATGCACCTGATGTTGCAACTTGCAAGCCAACTACTTTGTTATCACTGACAACTGGATAAACTGTCACTTGTGCTCTCTGGGCGTGTTGACATTTCTCAAGCCTTAACGAGTCCCATACGGGCAAAGCTAGTTGCCACAGAGACAAAGCCTTAATGTGCTCCCAAATGATTGAGGGCTGGGGCTGCTGGTGGACTCAGGAAGAGATACAGATGGGCTTCCCATTTTTGTCATACTGGTACACGAACATCTTGATGCAGTGGGAGTTGGCTGGTGAAATCCAGGGGCTACTCGTGATGGAGAAGTTGTGGCTGGCGTAAAAGGGTGGTGACTGTTTCCGGCAGTGGACAAGGGCTCGGAGCACGTTGGCCGCCATGCCTCGGAAACGCTTGCTGATGAAGCAGTAGAGAAAGAAGTTGACACCAGTGTTGAGCAATGCCAGCATGTTCGATATGTCAGTAAGCATGTGGAGCAGACGGGCAGCACTTTGTGAAGCTGGTGGAGGTGAGTAGAAGTGGTAGAGGATCATGAGGGTGCGTGGTGCCCATAAAACAGCAAAGACCGAGGTGATGGCGAGAAGAATYGCGGTGGTCTTTCCGGTTGAGTATCCACGAAGTCTGAAGCAGTTACGACGCTTGCGAAGTTTCTGCACAATGATGGTGTTGAGGGAAAAGAAAACCATGCAGGGCAGGAAGTAGACTGTGGCACAGTGTACCCACACAAGGACATGTTGGGCCACAGTTTTTCTGTTGCTTTCTCCTCCTCCCTCATCAGCATTCCCAACACCAGGTAGGCTGTGCCAGAGCTCAGGCCACCAGTAATAAGGTGCTGAAGAGAGCAAGCAGCCAATGTACACGACAAGTATCACCCTGCGTGTTCGGGCTGGGTAGGAGACCGTGTGGTAGCGAAGAGGGTGGCAAACGGCAATGTAGCGGTCAATGGTGAGAGGCACCGTTATCCAGATGGAGGTGTGGATGGAGGAGAACTCCAGAAGCTGCACGGTGCTGTTTAATGATGTTGGCAGCGATGAACCCAAAATAAAATCCTCTAAAATGAAGTCAACAAAAACGATAAGGAGTAGAACTAGAATGTCGGCAGCGGCCAGAGCCAGGAGATAGTTGTAGGAGGACTTCTGACGACGCAGCACAAGCTGGGACAGGATGACCACTGTCAGGATGTTAGCTGGAAGAGGGAAGGGTGCAGGAAGAAGATTGGAAAGTAGATGGTCATAGAAAATTGAAAAAAATGATGGGAAAGTGGAAAAGAAATGGGTACAGGTGAGGGCAGGGAGGGAGACAGAGAGAATGAGTGTTAGTGGACTCTGCAGATTGAACCAACCAGCAATAAACCAGACAGTAAGAAGAAAGCAGTTCACAGCAACAAAGACACTGCAGACAAACAAGAAACATGCAAAAAAATATTAAGATGTTAAACTGGACTGAGTTTTTTCCAATGCGATCAACAGCTGAAGCACATGCAAGGTGAACACTACACAAAAAAAAAAAAAAAACAAACCAAAATCCAGGTCTGTCATTGTTCCCTTAACAATAATCCTTTCACAGCTTGTTGTGCTCTTTTCTTTTTGTTGACTCCTGCTGTGTAATTCCAGCTGCACCTGCCTCTCTCCCTTTGGCCAAATTGTTATCTCTAATCAACAGCAAAGTCACAACAAAAAAAATGAGGGTAACGAGCAACATCACAGTCTTGGCTCTACTGTCTGCTACCCTGCCACCAGCGATTTAACTTCTGGAACAAAGCGCAACGACAGCCCATTTCTGCCTGTCTGCCTCTCTGTCAGCCTTCATCCTAATACGCATCAAGATGCTTGTCATTAATGCTGACAAGTATCTGTTCAATCCAAATTTATTTTACAAGACATAGGGTAGTAAACATCCATGGCAGATCAAATCTTTTGCATAAAGAAGGTAAAAAAGTGGCTAGATAAAATCTGGATAGGATTTATCCAGTTATGTAACTGGATAAACTATGACTCTGCAAGAAAGGAAAACATAACTCATATGAAACCACAAAACTGTCAAGTCCAAAATTATTCTCATAATTTCCATTAAATTCAAACTGTAAACAAATAGAGGGTGTAAAGAAGATGGATGTTTTTCTTACAATCAGGGAGTTCATGGATGTGAAAGTAAAGAATTTCAATATCTTTAATATATGAGTTTCRAATATAATCATTAGTGCTGGTAAGTTTGTTTCATTGTGTTGTGATTAATCTGGTGAGATTTTAACTCAAAAACTACTTATAACCATTTTCACTAAGCTTTATCAGCTGTGGCAGCCATCTTAAAATGGGTTGACTGTTAAAGTTAATCAATTCAAGATACATCCAATGATTATGTTGAGAGGATATTAAAACGTGTCCACCAATTCATAAGGTATTTTGTTAACAGACAAATCCAAAAACACACACAAGTAATAACAGACATATCTGCTAATCTTTAATGGTGGTTGGTGATAATAAATGGTAAGAATTTATGTTCTGACAAAAGGGGACTTTGACACGTCTCAGACAGATCTCATTTCAAAAACTCACTGCARCCGGGTGAACGGAGACAAAATTTGTTTTTATCTGAACCAAAGTACTTAGACAGAAAATGACAACCTCACACTGTTAATTCAAAATATTCCACCTTTTTTGGCATCTGTGTTTTGTTCTTAGTCTTTTTGTGTTTATTGTGGATTTTTTTTTGTTGTCCTTTCCAGTGTTTCTTTAATTCCCCAGTGTTCCTGTGTGTCCTCCACTCGGTTCTGCTCCTGCCACGCCCACTGCCACCTGTTGTCAGTTCCCCAGGTGTTTGTGATTTATGTTCATTAGTGTTCCTTTATATTCTGTGCCTGTCTGTTAGCTCCTCAGTTCTGCGCTGTGCTGTTTACAGCTGGTTAGGTTTTTCCTCTCCTTGTGCACAGCGCTGAGTTTATACTTGTAAGCGGAACTGCTGCCACATCAGCATTTTGATTTTTGCAAATAAATTCATTTTTTTCTTTGAGCATCTTGTCTTCTGTCTGCAACTCCCACGAATCATGACACATGTCATTTGAGGCAAATGAACACTAATTAAACCAAGCACACAAGAGAACCTACACTTAGTGCAGACTGCATCTGTGCAATTGGAGGAAAACCCACCAAGTGGAAAAAAATCACTTGAGTTATGATCAGCGGTATCAGTGGATTTTCAGTAAAATCCTGCCTGCTGTGTCTTAAAACAGTTTGCAAATGGAAACTTAGTCATTCCAACAACATGACTCCACACAAAACAATGCATTGAGGGAGAATTTCCAGTTAGTTTCACATTAAAGTATAAAGAGTTTAAATAACATAATGATAGTACTTTAAAAAGGGAGTGTATTCTTCATTACAAGTTCTGATGATAAAAGAACTATTTTCCTAATTTTAACAGCTACTTTTGTCATGGTTTTGTTAGTTTTAGTCAGGACCGACTTGTGCTTTCCTTTTATTTTTCATTTTGTTTTTGTTTACTTTAGTTTGTTCCTTGCTTTGTTTTTGCTAGCCCTGTCATCATCTCTTAACTTTAAATCCCAGATCTACAAACATTCATTTTGGAGCTCAAGTACAGTAACTGAGCTCACATCTTAAGGCTGGCCCTTTTGGGTATAAGAACACCCAATGAATACTGCWGGTGATCAGGTGTGTTTAAAGCTGTAGTTGAGAGTTTTAAGAGAACAGTGGACTTATAAAAAACAATAAAAGTGGAATCTAAAAGTTAAACAACACCACCTTACAGGACCAGGACACCCCCCCACCCAATGGTTGTTTCTCCACCATTAGAACAGCTGCAGCACACACTGGCTATCTGTGGATTGGGAGGAGCCAGAGGAGCTTCTTATTTCACAGATTATCTGTCATATCCATCTGTCAGAACAGTGACAGTTTTGGCAAATATATTAAAAAAATACATTTTTATAAAAGTTACCTATACTGCAGCTTTAATCCAGAGACCTTTTTTTAAAGCTCAGCTTACAGTAAATACAGAGTGCTTTCCCATGGCAAACCAGATTGAATACAACCTGCTGGCACAGCATCAAGCCACGTCCAGTCTGTTACAGCAAACAAAAAGCTTTCTGACATTGCAATGCAACTTTGAAGACCTTAATGTGGTTAGTGACCATCACTGGACATGCGGCATGTGTGATCGTGTCCCTCTCTGCAATAATAGATCCAGGATTGGATTAAATATGACATCTTAGAGTCTGGGACATCACACTTCACAGCACCAGCCACCATCAAGAGATTGCAAGTTACAAAGTGGGCTCAGGATAATGAGTAGAGACGTGCGTGCAAGAAGACACAAAGAACACAGACACACACTCACATTTCTAAATGTTTGATTCTGAATATGTAAAACTAAGCAGATTCTTAGTGATGCACCAATTCATTAGTTTACTGTCTACCAATAATCATAAATAAGAAGTCATAGTTGTTTGGGAAATTCAGTAAACCCATATTTGTGCACATATAGGGCTGATCTATAAAATAATAGTGACCCATCACATCGAAATGAGGATTAAGTCTAAAAGTTGTACGTGGAGAAATAGGCAGATAATGTTTTGATTAAAACACTTGCAAAAATGACATTTTGTGAAAATATAACAAATAAATGTGTTATCAATGTATAATTTCAATGAACTGTCTGAAACATTATTCTAAAAATTCTTTTGAAGCACTTTTTTGAGCATTAGCAACCAAAAACCCGATTTTGAGGAAAAATGCCTTCAAATTTTAAGATTTTCCCTGTAAGCTATGAAAGCTTTTGTTTCATTCCAGCTGTGATATCTCAATATTCAAATACTATTTGAGGTTTCTTTTTTTTAAATGACATGAAAAAAAAATCCTCATTAACAT